CCACAAATATATTTCTATTTTGAAATGTACACGTTATGGAAATAACGAATTTCTATAAACGTCACTTCTGTGGTGAAAGTTTCGGAATAGGAACACTTAAGATGAATGAATCTCTGACAAGTTTTTCATAAAAACAAATACTTCCAGTGATATGTCATATAGTTTGATAAATATACCACAGTAGAAATGATTTTTTTTTAAGATTTAGGTTTAAATTACCGTACAATTATTTACTGGTGTTTTTTTAATTAGGGATCCCAGTGTATCTTGGATACAATGAGAGCAAACCTCACCAGATTTCTGGTGGACATAAATGTACCTGTAAAAGTACTTAGTGATTATTTTAGAAACTTTAATGTTATAGAAAACATGCTGGGTGTAAGGACTTTCTGAAGTAATAATGATAAGTGTATTTGGTGACCAAGTGAAGTTTATAATCCTTTATATTTATTTTTTCTCTTTCTGGTGCTTTAAAGAATTATATATTTTAGATACTTAAAATATCAATGATTTATTGAACTACTCTCAATTTCTATTCGGTCGATGTATATTTGAAAAGTATCACCGATTTGAACCAGGAACGAACCTAACAATCTTTAAAAGTTGGCAGGGCTATTCCACAATATATGGAATAAATACCTCTAAAGATTGGTACTTATAAAAGTTGAACCAGTGTAAACCCTATTATATATAGTTGAATTATGTGTTTAATAAATGCTCATTGTTTGTAGTTCTGCAAGAAGTTTTACATGTTTGTTGTCTATTTGCTCTCAAAATTCCACAAATATATTTCTATTTTGAAATGTACACGTTATGGAAATATTATCTATAAAAGTATCAAAGTAGAACGTGAAAGGGTCAAAATTTACAAGGATTATCATGACTGCAGTACTTTGGTATCCTCTATGCTAAACAACTGTTAGAGCAGGCACATTAGAGTATCAATCTTTCAAACGTATCAGCTATAGTTTAACCACACTTTATTTAATTGTAGGTTGATTGAGGAAAGCATGGCAAAGTGGAGATGTCAATAAAGCTGGTATACTTTACTTATCAATTCAAGGGGTTTTTCGTGTGTGTTGTAATGTATAATTAGTTGAATGTGAATTTTTTGAGAGCTTCAATAGGGTGTGTTATCATATTTAGGTAATTAACGCTTTTTGAAGTTTGCAATAAAAAGGGGCAAATAGGATCAACAGCATTGTTTGTATTTGAATTTGCTATTTTTAATGAACGCTTTGACTCATTGTTTTGTAATTGTACAAGAATTTCTATATGTTTCTATTTTGCACTCGAATTTCTAGAAACGTCACTTCTGTGGTGAAAGTTTCGCAATAGGAACACTTAAGATGAATGAATCTCTGACAAGTTTTTCATAAAAACAAATACTTCCAGTGATATGTCATATAGTTTGATAGATATACCACAGTAGAAATGATTTTTTTTAAGTTTTAGGTTTAAATTACGGTACAATTATTTTTCTGGTGTTTTTTAATTAGGGATCCCAGGGTATCTTGGATACAATGAGAGCAAACCTCACAAGATTTCTGGCGGACATAAAGGTACCTGTACAAGTACTTAGTGATTATTTTAGAAACTTTAATGTTATAGAAAATATGCTGGATGTAAGGACTTTCTGAAGTAATAATGATAAGTGTATTTGGTGACCAAGTGAAGTTTGTAATCCTTTATATTTATTTTTTCTCTATCTGGTGCTTTAAAGAATTATATATATTTAGATACTTAAAATATCAATGATTTATTGAACTACTCTCAATTTCTATTCGGTCGATGTATATTTGACAAAGTATCACCGATTTAAACCAGGAACGAACCTAACAATCTTTAAAAGTTGGCAGGGCTATTCCACAATATTTGGAATATATACCTCTAAAGATTGGTACTTATAAAAGTTGAAGCAGTGTAAACCCTATTATATATAGTTGAAGTTGATGTGTTTAATAAATGCTCATTGTTTGTAGTTCTGCAAGAAGTTTTACATGTTTGTTGTCTATTTGATCTCTAATTCCACAAATATATTTCTATATTGAAATGTACACGTTATGGAAATTTATCTACAAAAGTATCAAAGTAGAACGTGAAAGGGTCAAAATTTACAAGGGTTATCATGACTGCAGTAACTTGGTATCCTCTATGCTAAACAACTGCTAGACCAGGCACATTAGAGTATCAATCTTTCAAACCTATCAGCTATAGTTTAACCACACTTTATTTAATTGTAGGTTGATTGGGGAAAGCATAGAAAAGTGGAGATGTCAATAAAGCTGGTATACTTTACTTATCAATTCAAGGGGTTCTTTGTGTGTGTTATAATGTATAATTAATTGAATGTGAATGATTTGAGAGTTTTAATAGGGTGTGTTATCATTTTTATGTAGTTAACGCTTTTTCAAGTTTCCACTAATAAAGGGGCAAGGAGGATCAACAGTATTGTTTGTATTCGAATATGCTATATTTAATGAACGTTTTGAATCATTGTTTTGTAATTGTACAAGAATTTCTATATGTTTCTATTTTGCACTCGAATTTCTAGAAACGTCACTTCTGTGGTGAAAGTTTCGCAATAGGAACACTTAAGATGAATGAATCTTTGACAAGTTTTTCATAAAACAAATACTTCAAGTGATATGTCATATAGTTTGATAGATATACCACAGTAGAAATGAATTTCTTTTTAAGATTTAGGTTTAAATTACCGTACAATTATTTTTCTGGTGTTTTTTTTTTAATTAGGGATCCCAGGGTATCTTGGATACAATAAGAGGAAACCTCACCAGATTTCTGGTGGACATAAAGGTACCTGTAAAGTACTTAGTGATTATTTTAGAAACTTTAATGTCATAGAAAACATGCTGGGTGTAAGGACTTTCTTAAGTAATAATGATAAGTTTATTTGGTGACCAAGTGAAGTTTATAATCATTTATATTTTTTTCTCTATGTCTGGTGCTTTAAAAATAATACAATTTAGATACTTAAAATATCAATGATTTATTGAACTACTCTCAATTTCTGTTCGTTCGATGTATATTTGACAAAATATCACCGCTTTAAACCAGAAACGAACCTAACAATCTTTAAAAGTTGGCTGGGCCATTTCACATCCAGAAATACAACACTTTAAATTTATAAAGACTGCTACTAACACGTATTTGGTTGGTTTTCCCAATCTATCTGAACAAGCTAGAGCCTTTAAGTGGGATATTTCATTGCATTGTTAAGGGTTCGTATTAGATTCAACAACTGTTAAGTTAACAATAGTGTTTTATTGTGTCAAATGAATATTTACATTTTTGCTGAACATTTTGAATAACTCATATTACAAGAGAGTTAGATACGTGGTGTCACTTTGTACTTAAACAATTATCATACCCATAGCGAAATGAATTATTCGGCTTATTTCAGTCGGTTATAAGACTTTAATACTGAAATTGTTCAATCTAATAAACTTTCAAAATGTCTGTGACTGCAGTTCAATATAATTTGATGGACAAAAAGGATAATCATTGAAAACTGGATAAAGAACATTAAAGGCGCAGAGAAATGTATAAACTATGCAAGAATAAGTATATATATATATATATGTTTGTTGTCTATTTGCTCTCAAAATTCCATAAATATATTTCTATATTGAAATGTACGCGTTATGGAAATATTATCTACAAAAGCATCAAAGTAGAACATGAAAGGACCAAAATTTACAAGGATTATCATGACTGCAGTACCTTGGTATCTTCTATGGTAAAAATCTGTTAGACCAGGCACATTAGAGTATCAATCTTTCAAACGTATCAGCTATAGTTTAACCACACTTTATTTAATTGTAGGTTGATTGAGGAAAGCATAGAAAAGTGGAGATGTCAATAAAGCTGGTATACTTTACTTATCAATTCAAGGGGTTCTTCGTGTGTGTTGTAATGTATAATTAGTTGAATGTGAATGCTTTGAGAGCTTCAATAAGGTGTGTTACCATTTTTATGTAATTAACGTTTTTTGAATTTGCACTAATAAAGAGGCAAGCAGGATCAACAGTATTGTTTGTATTTGAATTTGCTATATTTAATGAACGTTTTGACTTATTCTTTTGGGATTGTACAAGAATTTCTGTATGTTTCTATTTTGCACTCGAATTTCCAGAAACGCCATTTCTGTGTTGAAAGTTTCGCAATAGGAACACGAAGATAATGAATCTCTGACAGGTTTTTCATAAAAACAAGTACTTCCAGTGATATGTCATATAGTTTGATAGATATACCACAGTAGAAATGATTTTTTTTTTTAAGATTTAGGTTTCAATTACCGTACAATTATTTTTTGTGGTATTTTTTTAAATTAGGGATCCCAGGGTATCTTCGATACAATAAGAGGAAACCTCACCTGATTTCCGGTGGACACAAAGGTACCTGTAA